GGGGGGGGGGGGGGGGGAGCCCCACCGACCCGCTCCCGGCTCCCGGCTGGAGTCCTCCTCGTCCTTGCGGTTCCCTCCGGCTGCTGCGCGTCGCTCCGAGTTAACCCCAAAAAAGTAAGTTTATTGCACGTTTAAAAAAAAAATAAAAATCAAAATTAAAAAAAAAATAAATCGAAAAGCAGAAAATCGAGAAACGTGTAAAGTCGGAAATGAAAAGTCCGGGGAGGAAGGGGGGTGGAGCTGGAAGCCGGGGGAGGGGGGCGAGGGTGCCGCGGTCCCGGCACAGGTGAGCGCTCAGACGAGTCCCGTCATCTGCGACCGGAGGAAAGGAAGGGAGGCGGCGGGGAAGGTGCCCAAGGGGTAGCTGACGCCGCCGGAGAAGCCCACCAAGGGGGGCGACATGTGGGGCAAGGTGAAGCCCAAGGCGCTGGCCGGCGAGTTCTCGTGGTACAAAATGGGGACCCGCACTATCCTTTGGGCGGCGTGGGAGAGGTTGGCCGCCTCCAGGTCGGCCGCCAGCTGCCGCTTCCACTTGTTGCGGCGGTTTTGGAACCAGATCTTCACCTGCGTCTCGGTGAGGTGCAGCGAGGCCGCCAGCCCGGCCCGCTCCGAGCTGCTCAGGTAGCGCTTCACGTCGAAGGTGGACTCCAGCTGGAAGACCTGGCTGCGGCTGAACACCGTGCGCGTCTTCTTCTTGCGGCCGGCGGCGCGTTGCTCCGGTTCTCCCGGTTCCTCGCCGCGTTCCTCCTCCTCCTCCCGGCCTCCCGGCCCCGGCCGCCCGCCCGACGGGCCCCGCGTCGCCGCCCGCCCGCCGCCGCCCGCCCGCTCCGCCGGCTCCTCGGGCAGCTCGGGAGAGTCCCGGTCGCTGGCTGCGGAGAGAGGCAGAGGGGCTGGGAGAGGGGGCAGCCGCTCCGGGGAGAGGGAGAAGGGGGGGACGGAGCCCAGGGTGGTCGCCCGGCCGCCCGCCGAGCCGGAGGGAGCGCCTGCCCCTCGCCCTGCTCACCGGGAGGGGGGTGAAGGCGAACGCACCGGGGGGGCCCCACGGGCGAGGAGCCCGGGCAAAGAGCCCTGTGGCTGGTCTGTCTCTTGTGACAAACCCCTAAATGTCTGCGAGTATATACGCACACGCATACTTGTACAGCAGGGCATAAATTATACTTCATGCATATATATATATACGTATACTCATCTATGTACATACTCGTGTTACGTGCGTTTGTGCATATACATCTGAGCATACACACATAACCAAACGTGTACACACATATAAAACATCCTTATGCTTTTAGATATATGTTTAGTACACATACCAGTGTACAGGTATATGTATATACATAGGGATATACACATAGAAATATATATTTTTTTTCATATATGGATGTACACATAAGAATACACGTGTACTCTATACACACACGTACACATTTACACACTTATGTACACATATATACTTCAAAGTACGTATGTGAGTATATTGGTGCGTGTAAAGGGGGTAAGTACACTCCTGCGTGTGCGCATATAGAGGGAGGTATGAAAGAACTATTTTCTCTTCATGTTATTCTGAACTTAATAAACCAAATGGGCCTGGTCAGCTAGTCTAATACTGGGACATTGCCTCCCAGCATGTCTCCGTGAAGTTTCCAACGCTGTGCTTTCTATTTGCAATTTTAAAGGGAGGAAAAATATTTCCTACTCTTTATAGACCAGAGAAAAAAAGAAAAGCCAAAAAATATGGGAGAAAAACAAGGCATTTTTTTCGTGGGTCGTTTTCTGGTTTTAGATGTACTTTCTAAAGAAATTTAAAATATTAATGAACCCATCACTGTAAATAAAAACTCCTTGGATTATAAATCACGCCTCTTTTCCTTACTGAGCAATCGTGCGAACTCCACAGGCTCGTACAGAGTCAAAGAGATGCGCCGAAGGACAATATTTTTTTTTTTTCTATCAGGATAAAAATAACCACCGATCGCATCCCATAAACTTTTTCAGATGTTAATTTCTGCCCCTCAACCCAGGCTTTTTTTCTCCAGCGCCCTTTCCAGCGCACGGTTCCCGCCGTGCCAGGCCGCTGCCTGCCCCCGCCGGGCTGCGGGAGAAGGAGGCGAGCGGCGGGGTCGGCTCTGCGGGAAGGGGGGCAGTGAAGGGACGGACCCCAGCTGCTCCCCGGCCGGCCGGCCGGCCAAGCTCCCAGCTTCCCGGCTTGCTGGGGCGCCAAAAAAAAAAAAAAAAAAAAAAAAAAAAAAAAAAAAAAAAAAAAAAAAAAGCAAAGATCTAGATTATATTCCACTTAGGGAACAGGACCTCCTGAAATGGAGAGTCCTACCACCAGCCACAAGAGCTGCACAGGTATGTGCAATGTCCTGCCCAGGCACCAGTA